TATACACACGCATTCTAGATCCGTAGAACATATTTCGATTCTCCAATGCCCAAGAAACGTAACCGCAACTTTCGATTTTCCAACCATGGCCGAGTGGCTGCGAAGCCCTCTGGTGCTTTCTGCATCGGCGATATATCTCCTGCAGTTGATGGGGTCACACCCAGGGTTGCAGAGGTCTCAGTTGTAGCCCGTGTGATAGAACTCCGGAGCTTGCTACAGCCCTGCATGTCAATGATCTAGGATCCATGTGGCTGACTATGTGGCGCAGAACTCTCCACTCGCTCTGAGCTCTCGAGTTGGAGTCTGAGGTTCTGCAAACATAATATCGAATTACACTAGTGCGGTTTATGCGTTTATAATGTAGAGCGATCGTTACGTGCCTCAGGAGAATGTCCACTTCGACATCTTTGCTGGAAGTCGGAATATGCAGCGAACATACTGTGCCCTGTCATGAGTATCCCTAGACTGTGGGAAGAATACAGTCCATTAAAACTAGCAGATATAACCTCGAAAGCTCAGGTTCGGCTCGCCTACGCAGGCAACTCAGCAGCAATGGAGGGCCAATGAATTCCAAGAGCAATTTATAATATTACTATTACATTTAACTGCAATTTATAATCATTAATATATAATTAAAAATGTATACTTATAAGTACATTGAACTACATTCTTTGGGCCTGTAGGGTACATATCCCAGTCCCCACAGCACACTCTTATCCCATCGAGCCCCCAACCCTGTATGTAGCTACAGACTCTGAACAAAGCTTGACCCCTAAGATACTAATATCAAATTTCTACGATTGTAATAATACTAAACCCGATGTTTTGAACCTCTAGCCCTTTAAATTGGGTACCGGTGATATAATTAAGATCAGATATATATATATATATATTTATTTATTTATTTATATTTATATTTAATTATGTTTAAATTATATAATTATTATTTATAATTATATTTATATTAATATTTATATATATATATATATATGTATATATGTATATGTATATATAAAATGTATGTATGTATATATATATATATATGTATGTGTATATATATAATATACGCTGCTTTAAAATAAATGTAATAATTATAATACGTTATTATAATACAAGCCGTGTGGGATCTTGATGCTATGCTTGATATATCCAAGGAAATGCCTAGCTAGTCTGGGATCACCATTCAAGTATGAAAACCTGTTTTAGAGGATTCAACTTAACTCGTGTAAACAGCCTGCCTGCACTAAGTGACTACTACGACCTGAGCCACAGAGTGGAAGATGATTTGACGAGCACGCTCCCTGACTGCATGCAACTTGAACGACCTGCTGGCCCTTTTCGAATCCCTGGAAGTGCTTTTGTTGTTGACGACCAAGGGTTGGGTTCGTCTCAGCCGTGCGAGGCATACTCAAGATGTCACCACTCGCATTAGCTACTATAGGGCTTCCGTGCTCCAGCTTCGTGTGGATAAACAGTGGCACTTCGCGAAGAACACAAGCCGACCCTTTCGGGAACGAGCTCCTTCCGCACGTGGCGAGCGCCAACAAGCACCTGGGACGAACATATGCAATGGTATGCTGATCATGATCATACGTTATACCAGTTTGCAATTTAATGAGCTGAGGCTAGCTGCTCGCATAGCACTCTTGATGCTGCTCCTGACGGCTCGACGGGTGCTATTCCTTCTCGAGCAGCCGTCGTCCTCCAAACTTGAAAACATACCCTACATCAAGCATGCCTTGACTGCCATCTCTGCACTTCTACCTGTGCGTAAAGTTTTCTTGTCAGGGACTTATAGAATCGAGTGTGCTCTGGGATTCTTGCTTGCCATGTTCTGCACTATTTCCCAACAATCCTGTATTGACTCAGTTGGATGGGGAACTTTGGCCACTTCAGCTGCAAGGCCTCGCTGGCCTACAGCAACTTGTGCTTTGTCGGATCCAGATTTCAAGAGCCGGTTTGCTATTTAACATATATGATATGCTGCATGTGCTGCCACTGAGGTGCTTCATCTCGAAGCTCTCCAAGCGATTGTCAATGTCGCGGCGACGTCGGCTGCAGCTGTCCTCGGATGGGGTTGTAACTCGCAGACAAGTTAAGGGGAAAACTGCTGTGCAGCTTGGCTTGATTCTACTACTTCTACAGTTCTTGTCGCAACTGTACTATAAAGTACATCTCAGCTTGGTCATACATGCACCAATTATAAGGACTGGATCCAGAAATCTGAAGGCAACCCAAGAGTACCCGCGCAAGTTCTGCAGAAAGGTCATGAAGTTACATATGAAGTCGATGGATGCTTGGCAATTGCAGCTGTTGCGGCAGTCATGGCACATGGGGAGATCCATGATTGTACTTAAATGGCCCAGGATCGACATGGGACGAGGATCAAGCAGACAATGATGAGACGAGCTGCTGCCCTTGCAGAGAGGGGACCAGCTGCTCGACTATATTTATTTCTTGTGTACAGACGTAGATATCGATATTCGGCATAGAAAATCAAAGATATATGCTATATGTATCTACATACATGTATAGATGATATACATATGCAGGTGCATAGATCTATTGTAGCTGATCATACTTGTACCTACAAACCTAGCTACATGTATTATGAATATCTATAGAACAAATTGGGGGTTCAATAGAAACATCTATAATAATTAGTTGTACCTATATAAATAGAATAATACATAGATATCAAAGCTATACATATGAGGCAGTGTTCATATCTATATAACTTTATTTTAGGTGTGTGTAGAATCTAACTAAAACCCGAAACCCTATAACTCCCTAAACCCTGCCTGCATCATATTTATAAATA